TAGAGATCAACCTGGGCAACAGAGCTAGACTCCATCTCTACAAAAAAAAAGTTAGCTGGGCATGGTGGCTTATACCTCTAGTTTTAGCTTCTCAGGAGCCTGAGGCAGGAGGATCACTTGAACCCAGAAGTTTGAGGTTAGCTCATTAGCTGTGATCACACCACTGGACTCAAGCCTGGACAACAGAGTAAGACCCTATCTCTAAGAATCATAGCTAGCGCTTACCAATTTTTTTAAAAAGTGGATAGGACTACATTGTGATGTGTAGGTGTATATACTTAAGTGATTAAATTATTTAAAAAACTTGAAGAAAGGATAATGGTTACTTTTGGTGGGAGAGAGACTTGTGATTGGGACAAGGCATATTGAAGAAATTTTGGGGTGGCTTTTTTTTTGTTTTGATTGTGGTAAAATATACATAATATAAAATTTACTATCTTAACTATTTTTCAGTGTACAGTTCAGTGGTGTTAAGTACATTCACAGTGCTATGTAACCAATCTCCAGAACTGTTTTCATCTTGCAAAATGGAAACTCTATCCGTTAAACAACTCCTCACTCTCCTTCTTCCCAACTCCCAGCAACCGCCATTCTACTTTCTGTCTCCATGATTTTGACTCTTCTAGTTACCTTATGTAAATGGAGACATGTAGTATTTGTCTTTGTGACTTTTTTGTAGATTTGACTTTTTTTTTTTTTTTTTGAGACAGAATCTCACTCACTCCCAAGTTGGAGTGCAGTGGCACAATTTCAGCTCACTGCAACCTCTGCCTCCCAGGTTCAAGCTATTCTCCTGTCTCAGCCTCCTGAGTAGCTGGGATTACGGGCATGCACCACCAAACCTGGCTAATTTTTGTATATTAGAGACAAGATTTCACCATGTTGACGGACTTGTCTCAAACTCCTGACCTCAAGTGATCTGCCTGCCTGGGCCTCCCAAAGTGCTGGGATTACAGGGTTGAACCACTGAGCCAGCCTGGTTTGACTTTTTTTTTTAAATAAAAAAGTTAAAAAAACTTTAAATAAGTTACTGCTAGATTAATTTTCAAAAGGAACAGAACAGTTCGTAGGCCCATCCCCGACTCAGTTCTAAATTGCCAGATCGGGCTTTCTGTGGTTCTATGAGTCAAAGCAGGAGAGATCTTTGGAGCTGATTACTCTTTGTTCTGTGAGCCCTCTTGGCCTGCCTTGGTGGAGTTGGGTAAAGCCAACAGCATTTTTTGTTTGTTTATTTGGGGTCTGGAAGATCCTTGCACTAAGGCTAAGTAAGGCTTGGAAGAGAGGATTTAGTCAGCCACTGTTAGGAAAAATACTACATGTAAAAAAATGTTCTTTTTTCCTTTTTGGCTAACCAAGTAGCTTTCATTTCTCCACATAATAGCACTGTTATGTTAAGGCCACCCTGTGAAGTGCTCCAGTAGATCCCTCCACCCTGCAGTATTCTCCTCTGCAGAAATGATGTTTGGAGATCAGGCAATTCCCTTAACAGCCTGGATTTTTAGAAGGCCCTGGACTAGGAGGAAGGAGGAGATGGGAGAAGGGACTAGGATTAAGGAAGCCATTGCCAGGCGACTGGTGTGACTGGACATCCTATGTTAAGGCTTTATTTCTCAAAATAAGGGTAGTCCATTAAGAGACTTATTCATGAGTGTTCTTCAGCCCCACTACTGGCCAGATTTGCTTCTTGGAAACAAGAGTGGGGCTCCTTGTCCCATGTTTCTCTTGAGGTTGTAACATATCCCTAGAAAATGCCTTTTCTCTCCAAGAAACCAGGGTACCTCTCCTGAGGGTGGGACAGGGTCCTGAGGTGGTCCCAAGAGCTGGCTATGAAGTGTGATAGGACCTGACCTCACCTCTTACCACTCCCTCATACCCCTACCCCCCACTTTGGTAAAACTGAGTACTCTTGAGGTTTCAAACTTCTGGGGAAGGATTACTCATCAGCAACGTCTTTAACATGTGTTTGACTTTGTAGTAAAATGGCATGAAATTGATAATTTGATGATCTTTATAAGTATATTGTATCAAACTATCCCTGCTCTAGACACTGTATCTTCTTTGGTCAGAGTTGAAAGGATAGAAATAGGAGAGAGTCTTCTGAAACCTCATTATGTATTTCGGACTAGCTAGTCTAAGTCTGGTGACCTCTGTTGTTGTTTGTTTTGAATAAAACGTCTGAACACATTTTCTGACTTATAGTCTGAACGGAAAGCAGAATATTTGAAACTTGGACCATCCAAAAAATATGAAATGTAAGGTCACTGCTTTAATAAATCATCTGGAAATTCAGTAGCAAACTCTAGAACTGATGGCAGGATGGAAAGGAAGTTTTCTCATTTTCACATTAGCAGACTTTTGGTTCTTTTCCTAAATGGCATGGCAAACATCCTGCCGGTTCTCCTGGTTAGGGTGTTAACTTGAACTGCAGGGGAGATTTCCAAGGCCCTCTGAGCTTTCAGTTCAAATCTCCTGTCTTTACAAGGCCTTTCTGTTCCCCAGGATGGCAGACTTAATCCAAATATGAGAAGCACTTGGCTAACAATCTTGATGGGTCTGGCAGAAGAAATGCCAGTCTGTTTGCACTGCCCAGGACATAGCTCTGAGCCCTGTAGCTCTAGGCCAAACACAGACCTATAGACCTTCAGGGCTTACTAACTCAACACCCACATTATGGGGGCCAGATACATTATGCTGACGTCAAAGAGTCCCCTTGACATCAAAGGGTGTTGGGTGGAACCCAGAGGCAGAAGAGCTCAGATTCTGCTCCAGTGCTTCCTTAGTCCTTGTGCTCTCTACCATCTCTCAGCCAGGCTTCCATTAGTGGCAGCATTTCACCCCTGTTTGCATGAGGAACACTAGCCCCTGGAGAGGACAGAGAGGCTCTCCACTGAAGCCAGCTGCATGTTTTCATCTCCACTCTGCCTGAGGATGGTATGCTTTGGCTTGTATCCCATGTTCCTCAGAAACCCAGTGACCTTGGACAAGCTTTGAATTGTGCCAAGAGCTGACCACACTTCTAGCCCTGGATTGTAGTCACAGGTGGCACACTCTGTGTGTTGCCATTTTTCTCCAATATGTCTTAATACAAGGGTTTTTACTGGCTCAATGTAGCAGCCTTCTAAACATGTTCTCTAGAGCAACCTCAGTGCATGGATATTCAATCAAATTAGTGGTCCCTTATTTCCTAGCTTATGAACTTATGGTCAGGAACCATAAGTTCACATGCCAGTACATGAGCCCATTTGTGTGGCTTCCCTTTTGACTGACACACACAGACACACTCTCTCACACTTCATATACATGCACACACATTCACACACCCCCCCACACACACTTACACTCATACCCTCACAGTCACACACACACACACACACACACACACACACACATACACTCTCTTATGTATTTATTGAGCATCTGTCAGGTGCTAGGAACTCTACCTCTTGCCTTGAATTTTCACCAAGATCCTATAAAACAGGGATTATTGTCATAATTTTCTAGATGTGGTACCTGACTGAGAGAGCTTGTGTGTCAAAGAGAACATTGCCATGAAGTGACGGTGTCCAGACACACACCCAAGCCCTGTAGATTCCAGAGCCCATTTGTTCCCTGTATCATGTCATCCCGGATAGCCTGTGTTCAGTGGACAGGGTGTCTTCTCACATTAAAGGCATCCAAAGGCCTTCAGTTCTCCTTTCCCTGATGTGTCACAGAGGAATCTCTTAACTGACATCTGGCATCCCATGTGATACGGAAGTAGGTGGATCATGTCAAGTCAGTTCAGTTCATGCCTTGGTCTGAAAAATGGTCAGCATGATGTTTCCTCTTACTGTCACCAGATGAAGTTTTTTTATTTTTTAATTTTTGAGACAGAGTCTTGCTTATTGCCCAGGTTGGAGTGCAATGGCACTATCTTGGCTCACTACAACCCCTGCTTCCCGGGTTCAAGTGATTCTCCTGCCTCAGCCTTCTGAGTAGTTGGGATTGTAGGCATGTGCCACCACACCCTGCTAATTTTTGTATTTTTAGTAGAGATGGAGTTTCACTATGTTGGTCAGGCTGGTCTCGAACTCCTCACCTTGTGATCCGCCCACCTCGGCCTCCCAAAATGTTGAGATTACAGGTGTGAGCCACTGCGCCTGGCTCAGATGACATTCTTATGATGGGTGAGCCTTTTAACCTGATGTGTGTTTTCTCTGCTGATCACATTACTGCCTCTTAAGCTGGCTGTGGTGAAAGACTAGATTTTTCCATTTTCAATAATTTGAGGACTGTTACTTAAAATATATATATATGTGTATATATATGTGTGTGTGTGTGTGTATATATATATATATACACACACACACACATATATATAAAATAGAAATGTCATGGTCATGTCAAAAATTGTTATACAAGTTCCAAATGCTTGCTCTCAGCTTCTGTACTTCTCTCATTGTGGGCTGGTGGAATAAACAGTTTGTGGTGCCGAACTGGTCTGTGGGTGCCTTTTGAATAACACTCTACCATATAATTTGGGGGCAGTATCAATGACTTCAAAAGAAAAATATAATTTCTGTAAGCCACAACTTTAAAAGGAACTTAATTTATAGTAATAAGTAGTGTTTCTGGTTAACATTCTAATTTTAAATATTGTTTCTACAACTTTTAAAAATTATAAAAATAGTTCATGCTTGAAATAAAAATTCAATAGTACAAGAATTTCCAAATAAAACTGTTCCTTTTATTCCCAGGCCCACCCTCCAACTTTTATCAATTCCTAAATTGAAATTTCATCTCACATTCAAGAAACAAGGGTGTGGATCAAGATTTATGAAGAGGGAAGGGATGGGAGAGGCATTTCAGAAATGTATCCAATTTTTTGCTCTATTCTATCTTGTTTTTTATCCCAAAGGGGAAAGAATAACTTTTATGAATATATATTACTCTGTATAAAGTAACATGACAGTTATCTTTGATATATAGTATTTTCTAACATTGATTCTCTTTTGTTGCAGAGCCAGATTACATTAATGGATATACCTGTGTTTAAAGCTATCCAGCCGGAGGTCTGTACTTTGTTTTCCTACTCTTAATGCTGTGGGTGGGCAGCAAGGATTTAGTCAGCCACTGTTAGAGTGACTACGTTTCTCAGTTTCTCTCTTGAAGGCTCTACAAATGCATGTTATCGATTTAAACCCTGTTCTATTCTTGATGGTGCTCATTTTTTTGAGCCCAGTATTTGGATTTTCCAGAGACTGTCTTCTGTTTGGCCTACTCTGGCAGGGCTGGAAGCAGCTGATATCCACAGGCCTCCATGCCTGAGAGCCAGCTCTTAACACCCTCATTCCTTTTCCCAGGCTGCTTCTGCTGAAAATGTTCACTTTCAAGAAATGATGTCAGGGAACATTTTTCTAGAAAGTTTTCTGTTTGTTGATCCCAAATTCTTGTGGTTGCCCTGTTTCTATTTTTGGAGCCATTTGCCATAGCAAAAATATACATATTTACATTAACAGCATATATTGGTCAGGTGTGGTGGCCCCGCCTGTAATCCCAGCACTTTGGGAGGATTAGGTGGGAGGATCGCTTGAGGCCAGGGGTTTGAGACCAGCCTGAGCAACATAGTGAGTATTTAAAAAAAAGCATATGTACATGTTTAGAAACAGTATAGTCAATAAAGAATAAAAAGTTGATTTTGATCTTAAAAAGAATTCCTGGAACTGTTTGGCAATTGATAACAAGGTTTTGATTATTTTACCCAGGGGGTGTGTGTGTGTGTGTGTGTGTTTGTGTGTGTGTGTGTGTGTCTATCTGTGTACATGCTTGTGTCTATGTGTGTTATGTTCATTAGGGTTGGGGAGCATTGCTTTGTTTGCTTTTTTCTGAATTGGCTGACTTCCATTCTTTTTCTGTTTTGTTCTAATGTGGTATGATCTATTCTTTCTAATTAAAAACAACATCAGATCACTAAATCACTACCTCTTGGAGCCTTTTGGTGGAATAGGTGTGTGATGGTTGCCTTAGTTATCAGCTGAAGCTATTTCTGATTATGTTATCTGCTTAGCTCTGGAGCAGTTTAGACATTTAGGGCTTTATTCTTCATTCAAACATCAAGGAGGGCAGCCCACCTGCCATGAACCCTGAACCTGCATGTGCCCAGGAGACTGGGATCACTGCCCAGGCTGCTGGAAGGAGGGAAGCAGGTGGGGGCTCCTTCCTCTTCAGAGGCATAGCTAAGGCCAGACCAAGACTTTTCCCCAGGGTGCTGCAGTTTGGAAGGTACTTCATCAACACATATCTTAGTTCAAGTTGTGACAAGACATTAAAGTGGAGATGTTTTATTTTAAAGACTGTAGCTTGTAGCAGTGGTTCTTAATCGTGACTGCACATCAGAATCACCTGGACAGTCTTGGAAACATGGTGGTACCCAGAGCCCCCTCCCCCACCACTACCCCACAGACCATTAAATCTGAACCTGAATCTCTTGGTGGGGGTCTGACACCTAATCAGCCCTATTTTCTAAAAGTTTCCCAGGTAATTCTGAGGCAGAGTGAGGATTCAGAACTAGCTGCTTTGAGGTACCTGGAGAAACCCCAAACTTGAACATTTTGGATCTATAACATGTTAGCTAAAAATGGAAGAGTTTGTTCCTCATTGTCAAAACTGTGGTCAAAGGAAGGACCCTGGGAGCTGCCCCAGCTTTTTTGCTGATGTTATTATTGTTAGCAGGCTAAAAACTGAAAACTTTCCTTTTGAGGATGCTTGCCATGTTGTGGCTGGACCACCCCAGAGTTGGAAGGGCATGAATAAAGTATAATTATAAGTAAGCAGAGGCCAGCATCTGAGAGCAAGATGGGTGCTGTGAGTGACCTGGGCTCCCAGGAAACTTGTGAACCAGTGCTACTTTCAACCCTGGCTGTGTATCAGAATCCACTTGGGAATTCTTTTAAAAAATTACAAATGCCTAGGCTTCATCCTTAGAGATTCTAAATGCTTAGGTTAAGAGTGGGACTCAGGAATCTGCTTTCGACTGGGCACCCTAGTGGGTTCCCAGTTGGATGAGAACCAGGGATGTAGTGATTGTAAGACTAGTAGCAATTTTAGATATTTTCTTACCTAGTTACTACCATTACCCTTAATTAAGCCCACAGAGATAAGAAGAAGAATATTAACCATGGACCCTGTAGCCAGGACTTGAATCAGGCCTGTCTGAGCCCTGAACGTAGAGCTCAAGCTCTCAGCCCCTGTTGTATGTAGGTGTAACCTGACTCCTGCACTGCACAGTGGTCTCTTACCTCTTTTGATGTGGAAACAGCCATCTTAACCGGATCGCTATTGTGTAAGTAATATAGTTTATGAGTCCTTCCTAGGCTGTTCAGATCCTTTACAACTGGAGAATTGTTTCTGGCTGGAGTTAGATATGGTGATTTGGACTTCTGGGGTTGTCCTGGAAGGCATCAGCCACTTCCTAGCTGGTCGTTTTTCCAGGCTGACTCAGGTTTCTGCTTTCCCATCATGCTGTTTGCCAACTCTGTGCTTATTAATGGGGAGCTGGGGGCAGTTAGCTCAAAAAAAGAAGGTTCCTGAGGGACATGATTCTTCTCCTTGGAGATCTGAAAGGCTTTGAGCAGGCCGTGAGGAATTATGGTGAGACCTGGATACTTTTGGATGCTCTTAGGGATGGTCCTGGAAGTTGTTCCAGGTAGTGAGATTAGCATGCATAGAGGCTGTGGTCAAAGAGACTTGCATTGATGGAGGAGTTGGGGAGATTTGAACATAAAGGCTTCTAAAGCCCTCCCAGCCATGGGGGTCCTTGAGTGTCTGGTGCTTGCCTGGAGAGCAGCTTCCAGTGACGGAGTGGTGGGCAGCACCCTTGCCCATGCAGACCCTTGCCTGTGTGTCCTTGCTTGACTCCCTAGCCCTCTGACCTAAGCCCTGAATGCCCAGTGGCCCGCTGTGCACAGGTTTGAAAAGGGTTGGGTGCTGATATGGACTGTTGTTAGGTAGCCTGGGTTGTTCACATTTTCCTGAGCATTTACTGTGTGCAGACTATAAATTAGGCACCTTAGATGTAGGGTCTCATTCTGTCTTTGTCTCCCAGTTTTTATATATGAGGAAGCTAAAACTCAGACATGTTAAGTACTATAATTTGCTCCATGATTACTGTATTAGTCCTCTATTGCTATGTAACATATTACCCCGCACTTAGCAGCTTAATAATAAGGATTTCTCTCTCACAGTCTCTGTGGGTGAAGAATCCAAGAGTGGCTTAGCTGGGTGATCCTGGCTTAGGGTCTCTCAGGAAGTTGTATTCAAGATGTTGGCTGGGACTATAGTCATCTGAAGGCTTGACTGGGGAGGGGAAGTCTGGTTCCAAGGTGGTTCATGCACAATTCCTGGCTGTCGGCAGGAGTCCTCTGTTCCTTGCCATGTGGAACTGTTCATACAGCCACTGAGTGTCCTCATGGCATGGCAGTTGACTTTTCCTAGAATGAGTGATCCAAGAGAACAAGACAGACGCCAGCAATGATTTTTGTGACGTGGCTTAGAAGTCACATACTCTCATTTGCACAGTATCCTATTAGTATCACAGAGCAGCCCTCTTCACTGAGGGGCACTATATAAGAGCTGGACACCAGCAAGTAGGAAGTGGGGGAACCCTTGGAGGCTGCCTGCCACAGGCCTCAGGTCAGATCAAATATAGGTGGTTTAACTCCGGAGCTTTCACAATTCTGCCTCTGACAGTGCCCCAGCTGTGTGACCTTGGGTAAGTCACTTCACTTCTCTTGAGTTTTAGTTTCTTCATTCATAGAGTGGGGATAGTAAGAGTACCTCCCTCATAGGGTTATTTGGAGAATTAAATGAGGTAATGCATATAGAGTACTTAGCACGGAGGCTGGAATCTAGTAAAACAACATCAACCATTTTTGAATGTGTAGTGCATACCAGGCATTGTGTCGAGCGGTTAAAGACTTTATATGTGTTACCTTATTTAATTCCCAATTTACCCTAGCAGATGCAATTATTATTTCATTTACAGATGTAAACGAAATATTTACAGATGTAAATGAAATAATAATTGCATCTCAGCCTCCTGAGTATCTAGGACTACAGGCATATCCCACCATGCTTGGCTAATTTTTTAAAAAATATTTTAAGAGACATGATTTAAGAGACTGTGTTGCCCAGGCTGATCTTGGACTCCTGGCCTCAAGCAATTAGGCACAAACTGTCAAGCCTGACTCTTATAGCTGAAATTCTTAAGAGAAATTTTTCCTCATCAGCTAGGACTACATGTATGTACTTAATTCTTTCCTTTTAATTATCAATTTTCAGAGTAAGCAGTTGGTGCCCCACTTATCTTTAATGGTGACTTGTGGGTGTGTAACTGCTTAGTTTTGTTTTTGGTGAGCAGTCTCTCTCCTCCATCATAATGGACTCATGGGTGTTGGTCCATCCTTTGTGTCTCAGTCAGCTTTAGTCACCATTCTTTTTGGTATATAAATTGCTCTGTCCTTGACCAGTAGCATCCCTTTTATGTTGGCTCCTGTATCTTTTTAACATGATCCCATTCATTTTTTATCACTTCCCTGCTTTTTGGCCCAACAAGATCCCCAGGGTTATGTTGAATATTTTCTGCTGCAGACCTGGAATTAGGCATTTCTTCAGGGGGTTTCTTTTAGTGGGGAACAATATTTAGAAACCACAATCTGGGTGAAGGCTGCTCAGTATTACTGGGTGGCCATTGCTTTTAGGCCTTTGCCGTGAACAGAGCTAGTAAATAGTTATTTTTTAAAAGGAAAAAAGTCATGAGTTCATAGTTAGGGTAGATGATATTATTTCACCGTAATTCTTCCTTTTCTCCTTACTCCTTGTCTTACCTTCACTGTGGGTGGTGTGTATCTCCCTACCCTATTGACTTTGGGCTTGGCCCCGTGACTTGGTTTTGCCCATGGAATGTGGGCAGCATGGCAGTGTGCAGATCTGAGCTGAGCTGGTAAGAGGTGTGGCAAGCCTTGGCCAGCTGTCCTGGAACTTCCTTTTTCTCTATGATGTACCGGTAACTCTT